AGAAAAACACCAAGAAGTCTCAGGACTAGAAGGTAGGAGTCAATTTTAATTCAAAATTTATTTCCTGAGGTCATGAAGGGCATTTCACTGGGCTGAAAACTCTGAAGAATTGAAAGTTGATTAATATAGATATCTAGGTTCTAGATAATGTGATATATTGGAAAAGGATGAAATAATGAAGGGAAGCAGTTCTTGGATTTAGTCCCGGCACTTACACCAGAGACTTTTTGATCTTGCAGGACTTACTTCAGTTTTCTGAGCATCGATATTCTTACTTTTATTTATTAAATTTTTTTATTTTTAAAATAAGAATGGCAATGCTAACCTTGCAGTAAATTTTAGGGTTCATTGAGATGTTTAATTAAAAGAACCTAACAAAATGTCTTCGGTAGCATCAGTTGTTATAATTGTTGCTATTATTGTAATGGCTTCTAATAGGACTTTGTTATACTGCAAGCAATGAAGCAGGGGTGTATATGCCAGATCATGTTTACTCTTTAATAGGCCTATGAGGTAAGTTCTCTTTCCAGGCCCATTTTAAAGATGAGGAAAACGAGGCATTTAGATGTTCCTTGAGATTACTATAGTGATAGGGAAGCCAACTAGCAGACCCTGTCATTGAGCCCAGGTCTCTCTAGCTCCAGCATTAGTTCTGCAGAGTTCCTTTTAGAACTACTTTTCTGTGTGTTTCACTACTGCTTTCTTTTTATTTATTTATTTTCCATCACGTCTTTTTCCATTCTTTTACTTTTAACCTGCCTATATAATTTTATTTAAAATGAGTTTCTTTTTGACAATATATAGTGGAATCATATTTTTAAATACCTTTGTCAATCTGTCTTTTTATTTAGACCATTTATATTTAATGTAATCACTGCCATGTTAGATTTTAAGCCTGCCATTCTATTTTCTGTTTGTTTCTGTTTGATATAATTTTTAATTTCTGTTTTCTTTATTCTGCTTTCTTGAGGATTAGTTGAACATTTTTAGAATTTCACTTTTACTTATTTATAGTGTTTTTAATGTATCTTTTTGTATATCTTTTTAAGTTTTGTATTTTCAAAACTTATCACACTCTACTAATTTAAAAGTCCCAAAGAGGAAATCTCCAGGCCCAGCTTTCACTGTAGAATTCTAACAAGTGTGCAAAGGAAAAATAACACCAATTCTATACACTTTCTTCCAAAAAACCAAGAAGGCAAACAAAAACACTTCTCAATTCATTTATAAAGCTAGTATTCACTGACACCAAAACCAAAAACATTTTAAAATACAGTATAAAAAAAGAAAAATACAGACCAATATTCTTCATGAAAATTGACATACAAATCCTTAACAAATTATTAGCAAATAGAATTATTTATTAATTATATGAAAAGACATGCATATATAAAGTGAATTATATACCATAGAGTTCATTGCAAAAATACAAGGCTGGTTCAATACTTGAAATAAATCAATGTAATCACCATATTAACAAACTAAAGAATAAATTATCTTTGGTGGCTATCACATGATGATATCAACCAATGAAGAAAAATCAAATTGACCAAGGTATTTGAAAGTCATGACAAAAACTCTCAGAAAAATAGGAATAGAGGGGAACTTGATAAACAACATAAAAAAAAAAAAACCTACAGCTGCCCTAACTGGTTTCGCTCAGTGGATAGAGTGTCAGCCTGCAGACTGAAAGGTCCCAGTTTTGATTCCGGTCAAGGGCATGTACCTTGGTTGCTGGCACATCCCCAATAGGGGGTGTGCAGGAGGCACCTGATCAATGTTTCTCTCTCATTGATGTTGAGAGAGAGAACCTGAATGATTTCCCCCACAATCTCCCCTCTTGATTTGAGAGAGAGAGAGAGAGAGAGAGAGAGAGAGACATCAATGATGAGAGAGAATCATGGGTTCGATTCAGGTCCTGTGGGTTAGAGATAAGATGCTGAGTGGAGTTTTGGTCACCTAAAGGTGACTTGTTAGAATTTTGATAAATTTTTTTAAAATATATTTTTATTGATTTCAAAGAGGAAGGGAGAGGGAGAGAGAGATAGAAACATCAATGATGAGAGAGAACCATTGATTGGCTGCCTCCTGCACTCCCCCCACTGGGGATCCAGCCTGCAACCCTGGCATGTGCCCTTGATCAGAATCAAACCTGGAACCCTTCAGTCTACAGGCCAATGCTCTATCCACTGAGCCAAACCAGTCAGGGCTCTTTAGAAGGAAGATAAAACAACCTCAAAAATTTTCAATTGAGGGGTTATTTTTAAGCAAATAGATGAACCTGTGATGGCTCCCTGGCTGGTGATTCGCAAAGTTAGGGATGATCTGGGGGCTTTTAAGTCCGGTGCCATGTCACACTTTGAAGTTTGATTTTTGTGGAGGTCGCAGAAGGTAGACCTTTTCAAGAAGGGACATTTTATCAAGGGTGTGTGACAGTGGAGGCTCCCAAGCAGGCAGCCATGGACGGCTCAAGGCAAGAAACTGAGGCAGGCCCTAGCCGGTTTGGCCCAGTGGATAGAGCGTCAGTCGTCCAACCAAAGGATCCCAGATTCAATTCTGGTCAAGGGCATATACCTTGCTGCAGGCTCCTCCCAGTCTGGGCCCTGACTTTGAACGCCAGCTTTGCCATTTATCACTGTGTGGTTTTGACTCCGTTATTAAACCTTGCTGAGCCTCAAACCCAAGCCTAGTGCTCCTCCATGGCATATTACAGATGCTGGAGAAATAAATGCATGGGCTGTTTAACTTACTGAGGCAGTTTCCCAAAATGGCCAGCAGAGGGCTCTAGTTGCA